TCGACTTGGCCTGGCTTCAACATAATTTAATTAAAATTCGACAATGATAAACGCAGAAGATACATTAAAAACGCTAAACTTAATAATGAGCTGCCACGCACCGGTGCGAGCGAGATAGCTGACCGAGGGTCTGGAGCGTTTATATACTTGATACCCTATGAAAATATTTAGCATAGGGTATGCATATTGTGTGTAAATGTATCTTAATGGGCAGAAGCAAGCACCTGCTCTGGCTGGCAATCAACAACAATTCGATCTAGCCACGACCGTCTGTCCAAATGTCTGTCTGGACAAGGGAGTGGATGTCAGAGCCTATAAGGTTACCATACCCGGGCAACAAAAGACGACTTCAACTGGTCATGTCCATCTCTCGATAAAAATCGACAACAACCTTTCGATTTTCAAGCATATCTCGAGCTTTAGCTATAGAGAGCTATAGACACCATATTTGGTATGTGTGATCAGTAAAACGAGCTATGTCCAAGTTACACAAGGAAGCATATCCCATAACGACGCTGAAAACAGGGTATCTGCCCGGGGGTTAGTCCCCACTAGAGCGATCTTACGCGTGTGTTTATGAAGTGTTTGCTTTCTGTACTTGACTTGATTTCAGAAATAGCCGCGTCTTCTGTCTACGCCCGTTGTCCGCAGCGATGTGCGATGTGCGATGTGACTTGAACCACGCACACGGGCTACTTAAAGCGCTTCAGTTTCGGTCATTTGAAGTTTATTACCCGCGCACGTGTGAACCGAAAATACCAAAACGTACAAAATGTTTACAATGAAACCAAACCGGAAATCGCTGAAACAGCAAGCGAAAAAAAAAACCCAGAGAAGACAAGTCCAAGCCATGATATCTATGCAGGTAGTCACCGAACCAGACACCAACATTCAGACAGCCCCAGTGCGCAGTCCCCAGTCGAACGCGTTAGAAGCCTCGACTGCGGCAATGAAGACGTCTAAATGCGAAATTAAATATGACATTTTAGAGAAATTAAGTGGCCCATGTTGGACATGCTTTTAAATGGCCAAGATCGCAGACAACGCACTCAAGATACCACTACGCGCGATGTTCGCATCGTCGGTCGAAGGGTCGGTCTAGCATCAGGTTGCCAACTAGGTGGCTAATGGACTGAAAGCGTAATACGGTAGCCGAGTACTTGGGAAAGCCACATACTTACACAACCCACACTGAAGTAGGGCAACTGTAATAAAAATTCATAAACTCAACAAGAGACTAACTAGCCACGAGTTAGTAGGACAACTAGCTAAATATGCACGAAATGCGTTTAAAACTAAAAAGAAAATGAACTTAACTAACATGAAGAGTAATTTAAACGCAGGTTAGAATTAAAAGGTATTCAACAAGGCAATACTTTTATTCATTGCTCTGTTAAAATAACTTAATTGAATTGGAACTTTTGCTTGAAATATGGAGAGCTGCTAAACGAATGTTTCCAGCTTTAATTATACAGAAAAAATCCAAAATTTTTGAATACTCTTGAATATTAAATTCATAAAAATATATACATTTATAAATGTAAATGGAATATCAATAATTTACAGCAATGATTTGGCATGGACTCAAGAAAAAGGCAGAAGTAACGTATTTAAATACCTTTCTTGAAATTACTTTCCATGTGATTGTCATTTGAAATTCAAATCATATACAGCTATTGGCTTATTTTTTCCCACAATTTGGAGATAAGTTGAAAAAATTGCGTATACTTAACGAACGCGTATCGCACACTCTGCACATAAGATCGTATTGCCCACAACCATTCGAATTTGATTGTTTGTATTGACAATTTGCCTTCGGGGGGCTTTTTGCTTTCGCTCTCGCATTTACCTCATTCATGAATTTTGTAGATTTTTAGCCAAAGATAATTTTTGCGAAAAAAAAAAATGAAACACAGGCCGAGGGCCAACAAAATGTTCATTCAAAACACGTACATACTTCACAGCCGAACAACAAATGCAAAGCGACAACGACAACAACAACAACGATGGGACAAAACAAACGTGGATACACACGCAGGGTACGAGGGAGGGACGAGCGGACAGACGGACGGACGAACGGAGTCTTCCACTGCGAGTGGTGTGAAGTGCAAACAGACGAACGAACGCGACAACAACAACAACAACAACAACAACAACAACAACAACATCGACGATGGCCACAATGGAGTTCAATATTATCGACTGTGTAACAACAATCGCCAGCAACTACAACGACGACAACAACAACAACAAATGCGGCTGCTTCATTCATGAAATGCTCGTGCGAAAACAACAATAAATCCAACAACAACAACAACAACAACTATGAAGCTCTTAACGAGAATGCCCGACTGGTAGATGCCCTGCAGCCAATGCCAAGCTGCCGTTACAAGCATTCCAGCTTCTTTTTATGTATATGCACATATATATAAATCAATGTGCACACAATTGTGCACAAGCCCGAGCATCGCTTGCGACTATGCTTCTTCTTACCTCAGCCCCTCACCACACAAAATGTGCCTCAGGTAGCTTCGGTGCTTCTTGTCCGATCTTCTGTTGAAATTTTCGTAGCATAAATATGACATCGAGAAATGCGTAAATACCAAAGTCCAAGGATATCCAAAAACTGAAGAAGCCTGCATCCCAACTATGACACCTAAAGCATCTATAGGCTCTGATGTGTATCAAGAAATCAAACTGATCGATTCTAATTGATTTTGATGAAATTCCATAAGCTTAAATTGCCTTGAGCTGCTCGGGAAATAATCGGATTCTTGTTAAACATTCCTCTAGCTCTAGCTCGAAATCCTTGAGCTTATATAGAGTAATAGACCAGCTCAAATAGCTACATCGATAAAGCTTCTGATACTGATCAAGAATATGTATACTTTATGGTGTCCGAATTGTTTCCCTCTGCCTGTTACATACGTTTGCACAAGCCCATCATACCCCTTTTAAGCACCTTCAATGGGTTCAGGGTACGAAAACAACTTGCAGATTTGTAAGTTTTATTACGTGTTCAATTATTTGGGTTAGTTCGAGTGGCCACAATAACAGCAACAGCAACAAAGTATTTGCACTGCATTCAATGAAAGCATAAAGAAATTCTTATCGAGTATCTGGGTATCTACGTTTCTGCGTATCTGCGGAGTATGCCTGTGCTGGGCCGATCAATGGGGTCTTTGACTCAGGCCAGATCTGCGCCTGACATGACTTGCTCACCTAACACGCCGGCATTGGCGACTCAATTTTGATTAGTCATCGTATTTGTAGCTCCTTTTAGCCCTTGTTGTTGTTGTTGTTGTTGTTATTGTTTGGTTAATCGTATCTAAATATTTTTGTGTATTTATCTCACGTTGTTGGCCACTTATCGTCGGTTCGGCCGGCTCCGGTTCGAAAAATCACGAACTTCGTGGCGCATACAAAAAGGGAAATTCATTTTTTTTTCGGACAATACACAAAACAACACAGAACAACAATAACAGCAAACCAGTTGCCTGATTAAAAGGTGAATGAATTCGCAAAACCGCGAATCGCATTCAAAAGTTAAACGAACAACAAAGTCAGTTACCATTTTTCATGCCAAATACCCTTTGTAAGTGTTTCGATCAATTTTAATAAACAGCAATTGAAAGCAAAAGCTGAAAAGGTTTAATGTACAAATAATTTTAATAAATATTTTAATTGTTTAAAAAACAAAAGATTTTTGGGGATAAACAAAAATTTGTAAAATATTCAAAAAAGATAATCAAAAATGTTGTGCCTGTAAATTGAAAAAATAAAATATACAAAACATAAATTTTAAAAAAATTACTTCATAATAATAAAGTTAAAATTAATTAAAGAACAGAAGAACTATACAAATTATATTAAGTACTTGCATAATAATAATTGTATAATACTAAATATTTTAAAAAAATCTTTAACATAAAGAAACAAAATTCTTAAAAACAAACCCAACACTATAAAATGGAAACCTTAGAAATTTCTTACCCTAAATAAAATAAAATGAAACTACAGATAGTTTTTGGCAAACTAATAACTAACGTATAAAAATTAAATACAATATCTAACTTGATACCAAAACTAAAAGCTCTCTTAAAATAAAAGATTTCCTTAAGAGAAGCGCAGCTGTCAGTAAACCATTTCGCATGGATATTTTTGCCAGCTTTATAGAGTATTTCCGGCGCGCTTAATAAATCTATATTTTGTTTTGTGTTTTGGCTGTAGCTCATTTTGATTTATATGAAAGTTGCTTAACAGCCGTGGCGAATGTCAATGCATGCATCCATCAGATACAAATGCCCGGCGCATATTTTGGGCATTTAACGAGCATGCGCTTGCCCTCTCGCTCATGACGTCAATTGTTATTGTTTAGTGTGGCTTTAAAAATTCATTTGATATGTACTTATTTGGAAGCCACATAAACCAGCTTACTAATGAGCATTGCAAACACAACAACAACAACAACCAGTACAACAACAACAACAACAACAACGACAACAACAACAACGAGCAGAACAAGAGCTACAGTGACAACAAACGGTAACAAAAATCCCAACACACAAAACTCTAATGGAAATTTACCCACTTGGCACGTTTTTATTTTTTGTGTTGTGCACTCGATCGTTGTGTATTTATTTTATATTTTTATTTTATTTATTTTATATTTGTTTCTTGTTTTTTTTTTTTTTCGTTTGTTTGTTTGTTTGTGTAGTTTTCCTTCAAGTGTATCAATTTGCTTAGGCCATGGCCTTCGCAGCACTTAGAGAACTTGCAACTGCATTTGTATCTGAATCTGTAAACAAGTATCGGGATCTGTATCTGTGGATGTGTCTGTGTATGTATCTGTATCTTAACAAAGTAATCTGTATCTGTGTGTGCCTCTGTATATGTATCTACAGACATATATAAACAGATACAGTTGTATCTGTATCTGCATAAGTATCTCTAGCTGTATCTGTATCTGTATGTGTCCATCTGTTACAGTGTGTGTATGGGCTATTCATTTCGCATGAATGAAACCATTTCTGGAATATTTTCGTTGCATGGAAAGATTTACAAAAGTTTCCATTACAATTTGTAAACAAACTCCAAAGGGACGGCCCAGACACTGGCACTGGCACTGGCACAGTAAAAGAGAGGCAAACAATTCAACAAGTGCCAGCTGCTTGACTCTGGGGGTCAATAAGCAGCCGCTGACTGTATATATACTACATGCCACATAAAACGCAATAACAACAATGATATGTCCGAGCACGAGACTGGCCAGTGATAATCCCCCCACATCACGGAGAGAGAGACTGACGCAGACGGAGTGCGCGGGTGAACCGCAGCGTTTGGCTCTGGCTCTGCCTCTGGCTCTGGCAAAGGTAAAGTCAAAGTCGGCGCAACGACTGATTATCGATTTAATTAGTTATACGTGGAATGCAATGCTAGTGACATAAGCACATCAGATTAACCCACTTGGATGGAGTGAGTGAATGATGTGTATGCGAGTGGAAAACAACTCGAATAGCTCAGCTCTGCAGATCTTAAGATTGAATTAACTTCAAAGACTGATTGCCATTTATTTCAAATTTCAATTTAATTAAATTGAGCATTAATTACGATTATAATGATGATTATTACTATTAATAGTAATATAATTGTTTTAATTTTTTATTATTATTATTTTAAATATTGTTATTTATGGTAAATAAAGATAGATGCTCAAATACAAACAATAAGAAAAGGCAAATCCTACATGTTGATCAAACTATTTGCTCTTTTTTTACAGAATAATAAGGAGAGTTCTTTAACAAGAAGCTTCCCGTAAAAAGTAGTGAGTGCGAAAAATTCATATATCATATCTCTTAAATGTGCACATATAAAGCGAATACTCCAAACATATACATGATATAGCTCCATTTACAAGGTATTTGTTGATCAGTTTATCATATAGTCTATCTACTTGATATCGTTACTTTCATCGAGTTTTGCCAAATGACTAGAATTTGACAATGTTAGTTTGATTATGAAATGCAAATTTTTTATTTTGAACAGATCATGGCTAAGATCTTTTCATAGTACAGGATACAAAATTATAGGGTAGAAGTTTTGACCTGTCTTTATAGGATATTTCAGGGTTCCATTTTGACATGAATTTGGAACAAAAATGATGTTGGCAGATTTAGATGCTAAATTGTTCTAGAAGCCAAACCATTAAGAAAAAGCCAAACCTCTGGAAAATCTGATTAGATTTGGCCAAGTTATGGGGATGGGAAGTTTTGACCTATGTCCATATAAAATTTTCCAGGGTTCCATTTTGACATGAATTTGGACCAAAAAGGATGTTGCCAGATTTAGATGCCAAATTGTTTTAGAGGCCAAACCATGAAGAAAAGGCCAAACCTCTTGAAAATCTGATGAGATTTGGCCAAGTTATGGGGGTGAGAAGTCTTGACCGTTGTCCATATAAGATATTTAAGGGTTCCATTTTGACATGAATTTGGGCCAAAAATGATGTTGCCAGATTTAGATGCCAAATTTTTCCTGAGGCGAAACCATGAAGAAAAAGCCAAGCCTCTTGAAAATCTGATGAGATTTGGCCAAGTTATGGGGGTGTAAAGTTTTGACCTATGTCCACATAAGATATTTCGGGGTTCCATTTTGACATGAATTTGGACCAAAAATGATGTTGCCAGATTTATATGCCAAATTGTACTAGAGGCGAAACCATGAAGAAAAAGCCAAACCTCTTGAAAATCTGATGAGATTTGGCCAAGTTATGGGGATGGGAAGTTTTGACCTATGTCCATATAAGATATTCCAGGGTTCCATTTTGACATGAATTTGGACCAAAAATGATGTTGCCAGATTTAGATGCCGAATTGTTCTAGAGGCCAAACCATAAAGAAAAAACGAAACCTCTTGAAAATCTGATGAGATTTGGCCAAGTTATGGGGGTGGGAAGTTTTGACCTATGTCCATATAAGATATTCCAGGGTTCCATTTTGACATGAATTTGGACCAAAAATGATGTTGCCAGATTTAGATGCCAAATTGTTCTAGAGGCGAAACCATTAAGAAAAAGCCAAGCCTCTTGAAAATCTGATGAGATTTGGCCAAGTTATGGGGGTGGGAAGTTTTGACCTATGTCCACATAAGATATTTCGGGGTTCCATTTTGACATGAATTTGGACCAAAAATGATGTTGCCAGATTTAGATGCCGAATTGTTCTAGAGGCAAAACCATGAAGAAAAAGCCAAGCCTCTTGAAAATCTGATGAGATTTGGCCAAGTTATGGGGGTGGAAAGTTTTGACCTATGTCTACATAAGATATTTCGGGGTTCCATTTTGACATGAATTTGGACCAAAAATGATGTTGCCAGATTTATATGCCAAATTGTTTTAGAGGCCAAACCATGAAGAAAAAGCCAAGCCTCTTGAAAATCTGATGAGATTTGGCCAAGTTATGGGGGTGGGAAGTTTTGACCTATGTCCACATAAGATATTTCGGGGTTCCATTTTGACATGAATTTGGACCAAAAATGATGTTGCCAGATTTATATGCCAAATTGTTTTAGAGGCCAAACCATGAAGAAAAAGCCAAACCTCTTGAAAATCTGATGAGATTTGGCCAAGTTATGGGGGTGGGAAGTTTTGACCTATGTCCATATAAGATATTCCAGGGTTCCATTTTGACATGAATTTGGACCAAAAATGATGTTGCCAGATTTAGATGCCAAATTGTTCTAGAGGCGAAACCATTAAGAAAAAGCCAAGCCTCTTGAAAATCTGATGAGATTTGGCCAAGTTATGGGGGTGGAAAGTTTTGACCTATGTCCACATAAGATATTTCGGGGTTCCATTTTGACATGAATTTGGACCAAAAATGATGTTGCCAGATTTAGATGCCGAATTGTTCTAGAGGCCAAACCATGAAGAAAAAACGAAACCTCTTGAAAATCTGATGAGATTTGGCCAAGCTATGGGGGTGGGAAGTTTTGACCTATGTCCATATAACATTTTCCAGGGTTCCATTTTGACATGAATTTGGACCAAAAATGATGTTGCCAGATTTAGATGCCAAATTTTTCTAGAGGCAAAACCATGAAGAAAAAGCCAAGCCTCTTGAAAATCTGATGAGATTTGGCCAAGTTATGGGGGTGGGAAGTTTTGACCTATGTCCATATAACATTTTCCAGGGTTCCATTTTGACATGAATTTGGACCAAAAATGATGTTGCCAGATTTAGATGCCAAATTGTTTTAGAGGCCAAACCATGAAGAAAAAGCCAAGCCTCTTGAAAATCTGATGAGATTTGGCCAAGTTATGGGGGTGGGAAGTTTTGACCTATGTCCATATAACATTTTCCAGGGTTCCATTTTGACATGAATTTGGACCAAAAATGATGTTGCCAGATTTAGATGCCAAATTGTTTTAGAGGCCAAACCATGAAGAAAAAGCCAAACCTCTTGAAAATCTGATGAGATTTGGCCAAGTTATGGGGGTGGGAAGTTTTGACCTATGTCCATATAACTTTTCCAGGGTTCCATTTTGACATGAATTTGGACCAAAAATGATGTTGCCAGATTTAGATGCCAAATTTTTCTAGAGGCAAAACCATGAAGAAAAAGCCAAGCCTCTTGAAAATCTGATGAGATTTGGCCAAGTTATGGGGGTGGGAAGTTTTGACCTATGTCCACATAAGATATTTCGGGGTTCCATTTTGACATGAATTTGGACCAAAAATGATGTTGCCAGATTTATATGCCAAATTGTTTTAGAGGCCAAACCATGAAGAAAAAGCCAAACCTCTTGAAAATCTGATGAGATTTGGCCAAGTTATGGGGGTGGGAAGTTTTGACCTTTGTCCGTATAAAATTTTCCAGGGTTCCATTTTGACATGAATTTGGACCAAAAATGATGTTGCCAGATTTAGATGCCAAATTGTTCTAGAGGCGAAACCATGAAGAAAAAGCCAAGCCTCTTGAAAATCTGATGAGATTTGGCCAAGCTATGGGGGTGGGAAGCTTTGACCTATGTCTATATAAGATATTTCAGGGTTCCATTTTGACATGAATTTGGACCAAAAATGATGTTGCCAGATTTAGATGCCAAATTGTTCTAGAGGCGAAACCATGAAGAAAAAGCCAAACCTCTTGAAAATCTGATGAGATTTGGCCAAGTTATGGGGATGGGAAGTTTTGACCTATGTCCATATAAGATATTCCAGGGTTCCATTTTGACATGAATTTGGACCAAAAATGATGTTGCCAGATTTAGATGCCGAATTGTTCTAGAGGCCAAACCATGAAGAAAAAACGAAACCTCTTGAAAATCTGATGAGATTTGGCCAAGTTATGGGGGTGGGAAGTTTTGACCTATGTCCATATAACATTTTCCAGGGTTCCATTTTGACATGAATTTGGACCAAAAATGATGTTGCCAGATTTAGATGCCAAATTTTTCCAGAGGCAAAACCATGAAGAAAAAGCCAAGCCTCTTGAAAATCTGATGAGATTTGGCCAAGTTATGGGGGTGGAAAGTTTTGACCTATGTCTACATAAGATATTTCGGGGTTCCATTTTGACATGAATTTGGACCAAAAATGATGTTGCCAGATTTATATGCCAAATTGTTTTAGAGGCCAAACCATGAAGAAAAAGCCAAGCCTCTTGAAAATCTGATGAGATTTGGCCAAGTTATGGGGGTGGGAAGTTTTGACCTATGTCCACATAAGATATTTCGGGGTTCCATTTTGACATGAATTTGGACCAAAAATGATGTTGCCAGATTTAGATGCCAAATTGTTTTAGAGGCCAAACCATGAAGAAAAAGCCAAACCTCTTAAAAACCTGATGAGATTTGGCCAAGTTATGGGGGTGGGAAGTTTTGACCTATGTCCATATAAAATTTTCCAGGGTTCCATTTTGACATGAATTTGGACCAAAAATGATGTTGCCAGATTTAGATGCCAAATTGTTCTAGAGGCGAAACCATGAAGAAAAAGCCAAACCTCTTGAAAATCTGATGAGATTTGGCCAAGTTATGGGGGTGGAAAGTTTTGACCTATGTCCACATAAGATATTTCGGGGTTCCATTTTGACATGAATTTGGACCAAAAATGATGTTGCCAGATTTATATGGCAAATTGTTCTAGAGGCCAAACCATGAAGAAAAAGCCAAGCCTCTTGAAAATCTGATGAGATTTGGCCAAGTTATGGGGGTGGAAAGTTTTGACCTATGTCTACATAAGATATTTCGGGGTTCCATTTTGACATGAATTTGGACCAAAAATGATGTTGCCAGATTTATATGGCAAATTGTTCTAGAGGCCAAACCATGAAGAAAAAGCCAAACCTCTTGAAAATCTGATGAGATTTGGCCAAGTTATGGGGATGGGAAGTTTTGACCTATGTCCATATAAGATATTCCAGGGTTCCATTTTGACATGAATTTGGACCAAAAATGATGTTGCCAGATTTAGATGCCAAATTGTTCTAGAGGCCAAACCATGAAGAAAAAGCCAAGCCTCTTGAAAATCTGATGAGATTTGGCCAAGTTATGGGGGTGGAAAGTTTTGACCTATGTCCACATAAGATATTTCGGGGTTCCATTTTGACATGAATTTGGACCAAAAATGATGTTGCCAGATTTATATGGCAAATTGTTCTAGAGGCCAAACCATGAAGAAAAAGCCAAGCCTCTTGAAAATCTGATGAGATTTGGCCAAGTTATGGGGGTGGAAAGTTTTGACCTATGTCTACATAAGATATTTCGGGGTTCCATTTTGACATGAATTTGGACCAAAAATGATGTTGCCAGATTTATATGGCAAATTGTTCTAGAGGCCAAACCATGAAGAAAAAGCCAAACCTCTTGAAAATCTGATGAGATTTGGCCAAGTTATGGGGATGGGAAGTTTTGAC